TCAGGCCTAAGATATCTTAAGATGCTCAGGTTTTAACGTGTCCAGGTCTAGGCCCTAGGGCTTGTTTTCGAATCCGTGCTGCCAGGCGAGAGCGGTGGGCAAGTGCTTCGGCGACGGGAAGTTTCAACATGAATCGTGCCCAGCAGCTCCTTAGCCAGTACCGCGTCGCAGGCGAGGAGCTCTACAATCAGGCAGTCCGTGGCAAGATGCCGGAGGCGTCCTACGCGGCCATGGAAGAGTACGCTCAGGAAATGCCATGCACGACATGGAACACGATGGACACAAGGATGCGGAGCTCAGATCCTGCAATGCTTATGTACGATGCGTTCGGGTGCGGGGAAAGGCTCCACTTCATCAACGTTCCAGAGGCAGCCCCTCCGTCGACCTCGACACCAAGTCATGAGGTCACTTGCATCATGGAGAGCATGCGCCTCGTGCAAGCCATGGCGCCTGAGCAGGCCGCCAAAATATTAATCGATACAGCTGCCCTTCAGGGGCCATATGAGGACTGAGCAGTGAGCTCTTTGTACATGCGACTTTGTACATTTGTGGTGACCCTTAGTGGTACCGTTGCTCTGTGCAGTAATTAAGCGAAGTGACCTGACATTGGCTGGATTCGATCAACCATTGGCCCGACCGGGCCCTGCACCCCGTCGAAAAAGAGCCGTATGCAAGTCTGCTGGAACGTCTGGTCGCGTACTGCGTAGCATGCACGTAGGTGCATATGCTGTACCAGTGACTCAGCTAGCAAATCAAGCAGTTAGCAACTCAAACCGTTTCATTAACTGGTGACTCAGCGAGCTACTTGTTTGAGCGATTTGTGTTACTTAGCAATCTTGATTGCAAGCAAAGTGCATGCTGATCATCATGACTGTGATGGTTATGGTGCACAGGGATTTGGAGACAAAGCACAGACTGCTGGAATGGTGTCGTAGTCTCACATGGTAACCTTCACTTACCTTCGGGGCAACGCACTTATTCCAATCACTGGTCAGGTTGGCAGTTGTGCTGCCATGTTCACTGCGCGTACGAATGCCAAGACCTCAGACATCAGATGGTGTTGACGCTTTGGGCTCAGGGTTCAGTGTTCAGAACTCATATTTCGGGATTACGGTTTCGGAGCTTCGGAACCCCGTGCCCGAGCCCCGAAACGCTAGATGACCTGTGGCACGAGCTGGC